CTTGTCCTCTAGCCTACAGTGCACACACACACACAGACACACACACACACACACACACACACACACAGACACACACACACACACACACACACACACACACCATGGTACACATTGCACACACACAAATAAGTAACTAAAACTTTATGATCCCATCAATACATGCCATGGTGGGGGGGTCGTTGTTGAAACAGTTTTTATATATAGCCAAAGCTGGTCCAGAACTCATTATGTAGTCTAGGCTAGCCTCAAATTTGTGCTCCTCCTGCATCAGCCTACGGAGTTCTGGGACTAAAGGCCAGTGTCCTCCTATATCTGACCTGTTTCCCAATAACCAAATAATAAGTCTTTGGTACACACACTCTGCACACTTTCTCTTTTCCCACTCTTACGAATCGGCCTAGTTTCCTTTGAGATCTGGATTTGGACATACTTGATTGGCAGCTGAAACTCAGACTGGCCCAAGTACAGCCTTGGCCCAGTAAGAGTCACCCCAACACTCTTTGGCCACTTTATTATTTATGTGATATATATAAATATAAAATCAAGAGAGTGTACATTTAGTTGTCTTCTTTTTGCTTTGCATTTCCATATACACCCCAAAATATACAGCTATTGCACAGAGCCAGGACAGGTGACTAGGTGGTGGTTTATCAGCCGCTTCATCTTTTATCTTTCCACACCCCATGTTTGGGTGAATTAATGTCACTTGCTTAACTACCGAGTTAATTTTTAAAGTCTGTAGAGTTTGGATCTGAAAGCCTCTTCAGGCTCACCCTCTGGAGCATTGTTTACTCCGTGGGGGTGATGTTTTGAAAGGCTGTAGAGGAATTTTAGGAGGTAGGTCAGCAGGCAGAAGGAGGTCAATGAGCATGGGTTTTGTTTTGTTTTGTTTCCCCCGGGGAGGGGAGGTGTTGTTGAGATAATATCTACATAGCTCTGGCTGTCCTGGAACTCACAGAGATCCACCTGCCTCTGTCTCCCTAGAGCTGGGATTAAAGACTTGCACTATCATGCCTGGTGAGGGTGGGCTTTTGAAACAAACAATGTATCCTCAAAAAGTAGTTAAAATTGTGTAAACTGTGGACTCCTCCATCATGTAGCCAGTCTGTTTCTCTTGCCTTCCACCTGAGTAGATGAACTGTCTGTCCCCTCTGGCTCCATGAATCTTCTCCGTCTGACTAGACTGAGAGCTGATCCTGTGTCCCATGACCTTGGTGTACAGCCATCTAATAAAGGCTATCCTCTGTCCATACCAGTACTGAAGGACTGAAATGGAGCCAGATCCAGTTCAGAGTCAGTTTCCTTGTAGCCTTGGGGTGGTCAGCTGTCTAGCGAAGCCGCGGCTCTGATTGCCCGTTACCCCATCCAGAAAGAGGTCAGCTTTCCCCTCGTGAGGAAGCCCGACTCTGGTTTCAGGGGTTGTTTTCACACTGTATACCGTGAGTCCTCAGGTAAGTGGATTCGTGGATTCTCCTTTCCTGTCTTACTCTCTGGAACTGTGTGAAAAAGAAATGATTCCAATAACCACAGCGCTGGACTGGAAAGATGGCTGAATGGTTACGATGGCTGTTCTTCCAGAGGACCAGGGTTCTGCTACGGACACCACATGGAGACTCACAACCATCTGTAACCGTAGTCCCAGGGGATCTGATGTCATCTTCCGGTCTCCCTGGGCACCAAGCACATGTGTGGTGCACAGATACACATACAAAGAACACATACAAAATTTTTAAAAATTTAAATACAGGACTGTGGGCTGGTGTGTGTCAGGGGCAGGGCACTGCTTAGCACGTGAGATGCCGAGGGCCTACCCTAACCACTCACCAAACAAACAAATGCAGTTAGCCGATTGCGCGAAGGTCACTTCCCAGATACTGCCGAGTTCCGTGCTTCCAGCCCGGGTGGAGGGGTTTCCGGAAATGCCCTCTGCCTTGGCACTTCCTTAATGTTTTCCTTTCCCATAGGACAAGTTCGACTCCATTCTGCTCTGCAGACCATCTCTCTGTCTCGGGAAAATTTAAAAATAAATAAACAGATGTATATCTTTAGGAACCACAGTGGTATAAAAAGACAGAGTGGAAAAACAATTCCTCCCTTGCCCTCTCTCCCCCCTTCCAGGAAAGGTGACATTTCCCCCAAACGTATGTTCCATTTCCTTCCTTCTTTCAAAGAGGCACCATGCACCCTCTCCTGGCCCTGCTTCAGTTAGTGATGGCAGCCCAGGAACTCAGATCAGCACCTAGAACTCTTCCTCCTCCCTCCCCACTTTGTATTATATTTAGCCCATCATGTGACTCACACATAAGCGGTCTCCCAGCATCGGGCATTTGGGTTACTTCCACACTGCGGTGGTGACGGTCTCGGTGAATGTTCTCTGTCATTTCTGCATGGACACGCACAGCCTTACAGTGTGTCCTTGTGCTGTCGGGGGCTGGGGGTGGGGGTGGAATGCGAGGCTGTTGGCTTCTCCAAACTCACCATCAGGGTACGCTGTCCAGCTCTGGGTTTGGGGGTCCTCACAGTCTATAAAGGAGGTAAAATGGCTTACGCCAATTTCATCTTACATTTCTCTTTGGGTTTGTATTTCACTTCTGATCAGGTGTTTAATGAGCTTTTTATTATTTACTTATTTATTTATCCCCCTGGGCACTCCCGTGTGTGTGTGTGTGTGTAGGGGGGGACTTTCAAGTCTTCCTGCTCTTCTTCCTCGGGGTGGGTCCCCGGGATCCATCTCAGGTCATCAGGCATGTCCTTACTGAGCCATCTCACTAGCCTCTATTATTATTATTGACAGGGTCTCTCTATGTAGCCCAGGCTGGCTTCAAACTCACAGAGATCCACCTGCCTCTGTCTCCTGAATGCTGTGATTAAAGGCGTGCGCCACCACACTCTGTCAAAAACTCGTTCTTAATGTAATAGATTTAGTCCTTTTATTTATAGTTTCTGGATTTTTTTTTTTTCAACTTACAAACATGCCTTGCCAACATCTGTGCGACCACTAGGGGGCGAACGACTCCGAACCTCACAGAGAAAAACATCTCACAGAGAAAAACATCTCCCGACCCTTTCCCTTAGAAGAGTGAAGACTTCTCCTCCAGCGCGCTGTGTGTGTCTAGTATGGTTTCTGCCCATACAGACTGCACACACTGGTGCTGGAGGTCCCTCCCGGGCCCTGGTGGTCTTTCCCACGAGCCCCTGTGAGTCAGTCACCCATCATAACCGGTAACTAAGCTACTAAGGGCAGTGGGGGCCTTCACAGTTCCCGGTCTGGACCCTTGGCTTTGGCTCTGGGTGGTCAGCCAGCCTTGGCTTCCTGCGACCACATCTGCCTTTTCTCACGGCAGATTCGGGGGCTTTGAAGTCAAACTCATCCCCAGGCAGCTATCGACCGCCTGCCATGTCCGCTGCTTAAGCCCCAGTTAGCCAGCTTCCCACACTTGACCTGTAATTGAATTTCCTTGGAAACTCAGTGACAAGATTGATTCTCCCTAATTGAGTCAGAGATGGACTCTGGGTGCCATTCTTTCTGTCCTTGTTTGCCTGGGGCTCGCTAGGCTGAGGCCCCAGACTCTCACAGTGTCTATTCCAGTTGTCAAAAACCTTTTACTTTAAATGATCCTGCTGACGTTTGGGGGGAGGCAGAGGTGGGGGGGGGCAGGCCTAAGTGAGCAGAGGACAGAGGAAATGCCTGTTTTTAAATTTGCTTTGTCTTCTTGTTCAAATACAATTCTAAGAAAAGAAGCAAACCAGAGCGGAAGGGAAGACCAGCCTCGTTCAAAAGCGAGTTTGGAAATGAGTACCAAGTCTGCTGGCTTCTAGGAAGTCAGCACCTTAAAGTTCTCTTCCTCGTCGTCAGTGTTCCCGATATGACTCAGTTACAAAACACCGGTGAGGGGCGAGGCGGCCGGCAGATCCTGGGGCACTGAGTTCCAGTTAGAGGGCAGTGAGGCGCTCTGGCGTGCTTACATGGTAGGGTGGCTTAGACAATAACAACGCATTACATATTCCAAACAGCTAGAAGAAAGGGGCGTGAGCGTTTTCAGCATCAGTGGTGAGTGAGGACACAGACCAAGAGCCCATGCCCCTCCCTAAGGCTAGTTGGCCGAAGGTCACAAATAATCAGGGAAAAAAAATTGCTGAAGAAAAAGTATGTAAACCCGTGTGTCAAGTCTTCACAAGCACCCCTTACACACTTTCCCTTTCAAAAGATGGGATCTCTCTGATGGGGTAAGTGGGAGACTTGATTGACAGCTGTCGGACCTTTCCCAATGCCTAGCTGAAGCAACAGTTGGTTACCAAGGCCAAACCAAGCACCTGTCCCCGACCTGCAGAGATGAAGGCTGGATCAGGGCTCACAGCTGTCGTCTCCACAGTTCCTGAGTCCCCTGACACTGTGAGCAATATCACCGCTGCTGCTGAAGGGCCCGCAGCCATTTCCACGGAGGCTGCGGGAGCTGTCAATCAAGTCGCCTCAGTTATTTATCCAGCCGTTACCAGGGCAGTCAGTTTTAAACCCTTGTAGCTACCTGAAGAAGATTTGAATCCGGCCCATGACTCTGCTAGAAGACATCAGCCACTTGCTGGTAGCCCAGAGAAACTTCCTTCCGTTGAGGGGGACTAACACAGCTGTCTTGACCACCACCCTAAGCCTCAGGTGTCTGGGAGCCTCGGCCTAGGCCGTGACGACTTCAGACGCCGACCCTCAGAGGACGAGGTCCACTACATCTTCAGATATCCCTGCCACGGGTGCTCCGACCTTCGTGATGACATCCTCAACTGAGTGAGGAAGATGTCCCCACGACAGCGAGGGCAGAGGCTGGCTGAGTGAAGGGTGCTCCTCTAGCATTCTGGGAGCCCTCCTCCTATAAACTGCCTATTTTTTTTTAATTACAGGTAGAGCTTTATCTAGCCACCTTTTGTCTTTTTATCACAGGTAGAGCAGGCCAGACTCGTTGCGTGAAGAACAGACGATTCCAGGGGCTGCTGGTCCCAGACGCACAAGCCGCCCATAGAGGGGACAAGAGTCGTGAACAGCTGTGAGCACAGACTCGAGATCCTGATGCTCTGAAGGAGCTGTGGGCGAAGTGATGGCGGTGAGTAGAGACTTCAGAAGATAGAAAGCCGTAAAGGGCCGAGACTGAAGAGGAGGGACTACTGAGGGCCAGCGGCGAGCCTCGCCCCGGGAACATTCATGGGTCCTGACAGCAGCTAAGAAGCTGCCCAGAGCTGGAAGAGCAGGGCCGAGGGCCAGGTGCCCTAACCAAGCTGGAGCTTCAGCACTGACTGCTGGGGGCCGAGCCACCGACATCGGAGCCCAGGGCTGTAACACTAGGAGCAAAGGGGTCCCTACACCCCCAGTTAGAGCTCGGCTCCACAGCCTGAATGAAGGCAACTCTCTCCAAACATGGTGACAGCCTCAGATGGGAAGGAGCAGCTCTTCAGACACCTTGAGCACCAGGAAGTGTGTGGGACGCTGGTTTCCTTTTCCGATAAGTCAGTTCTCCAAAGGACCAGTTGGGTGTCTTCTAACTCAGTTGTTTTGCCTGTAGATAGCATCAGATTCCACAGGCTGGGGGCTCAGTCCCCAAAACTGATCCAACATTCAGCATAGCTGAGGCTTCAGATCCATTGTCTGTAAATTCCCAGAGAGACACTTCCGTATAGGCCCACTCACCACAGAATCATAAACAGCGATGATGTCATTTTGTTGAGGCCATTATGTTTTGGGCAGTTTGTAATAAAGCAATGTCTGTAGCAGGCTGGTCACCAGAAACCAGGAGGTATGGCTAGCTAGAGATGCTGGCCTGCATGATGGCTGGTCTAATGCCTTGTGCCAGGAATAGGGCGCTTCTTAATACACCTCCCAGGAGTTACCTGGCTTAGGACATCATAACACAAAACGAAGAAGCTGGGTGTTATGGCACATGCCTGGATCTCTAATACTGGAGACATTCACACACACACATCACAGATCTGAGGTCAGCCTGAGTTTCCTGAGGAGATTCTGTCAAAGAAAGAAGCGGGGAAGATGGAGAGGAGGGAGGAAGAGACACAAAAAAAAAAAAAAAAAAAAGGAAAGAAAGAAAAAAGAAAAGGAAAAGAACAGTAGGAAATGGAAGTAGCCTGACACCATGCAGACCAGAAAATACGCTCCTACCCATCTTAGACAGGACTTTAATGCTGTGCCCACGTGACACATCTCTGTCATCTCTGTAGTTAGTGACTATAAATAATTGGTGTTTATAAGTGATTGAAAACAAAAACAGCCCTAAATAAGTTCAATGCTGTGTTCTATGTTAAGAAATACATGGGGCGCAGAGGAAGTGGGGGAACAATACCCCAGTTAGACGCCATTACCAGGAATGTTCACCCCTTCTTGAGTTGTTGGCCAATGGGATTCCACAGGCCCCCAAGAACTGCAAACTATTGCTAATACCTCATTTACCCTCCGAAACATGACAGTAATACCCGATTGAACAAATACAATGTATGGAATCTTCTAAAAAACAAAAACAAAAGAATGTACGGGGCCGGGGAGATGCCTTAGTGGTTAAGAGCACGTGTTGTTCTTGCAGAGATCCTGTGGTCAATTCTCCGCACCCACATGGCGGCTCACAACCTTCTGTAATTCCACTACCAGTGGACCCAAGACCCCCTTCGGAGGCACCAGGCACACATGTGGTGCACCTACGTGTGTGTGGGTAAAAACACGTTTTAAAAAAAAGATATGTATCAGACTTAGCGATAAAATCACGGCAGCTTCCTAAAGCCTAAACGGAAGGGAGATGACGACCAGAGAGAGATGTGCTGCTGTGGTCCTGCGTTCATTTGTGCCGTACCTGGATCTCGCAGGCACCGTCTGTCTCTAGTAATTGTGAGGTGATTTTCACTTCGTTTGCAAAGCGTGATAGCTTTCTTTCTTCCTTCTCTTTGATTATCTCTCTCCCTCCCCACCCCAGAAGCTTTGTTAGAGTTTTTAGACCCAAGTTAAAGAGGGGGTGACTGTCCTTGTCTTGCCCCTGTTTTAAAGAGGAATAATTCATGTTTCCCCATTAAGTGTAATTTTGACTTTTGGTTTTAAATAGGCTTTTTGTCATGTTAAAGAGGCAATCTTTTATTGCTTCTAGGGAGCATGTCAATGAAGAATCCCCTTTGGGGGTTTATAGAAATTACCGTGTGTGTTTCTACAATATTTTCCAGGAGTATTACTGGTGATGCTAACACTTGAGCTTTTAGGAGTGAAAAAACTAGAAATAGTAGAAAGTATGTTCCTTCTAAGGTTATATTAAAGGGAGGTGAGCTAGGATGCCGCGGTATAAAGGGTTAAAGGGGACTGATGGAACAGGAAGGGTTAAATGGGGTGGGAGGGCAGGGGAGGAGGGAACGGGGAGGGGTAACTAACACTACAGGCCTTTTGAAAAGCTACTGGAAACCTACTGCTGTAGAAAGGTCCTAAAATCGATGCACACACATAAATAAAGGAGGTTAAAGGGAGTTCCCGTATAACAGGGTGGCAATGCCCCTACTAGACAGGGGAAAAGACAGAGGCCAGGAGCGGGCTATTCTTGTGGAGTTGTTGGCTAGGAAGGGCCCAAGGATTACAAGCTAGTGCCAATGCTTTGGTTTCTTGACAGTAAAACCTTATTGCTGAAGACACCGTGTACCTGCGTCATAGAACACAGACGAGCCAAGCTGGTACTCACCTGGAAACTTTATCCCTTTTAGTTGGCTTCCACAGTGCTGGAAGATTCTACACACACTACCCGAAGAGAAGAGTAATCACCAGAATTACCCAGCAGGGAGCCCTTCAGGCCACAACAACGACTGGCCTGGCAAGACATGCCAACTGGTTTAACAGTGTCACAAATCTCGTGGGAGTCATCAACCACTTTCTGACTTGATTTATATTCCGTTCCTCATATCTGGTATTGATACCAGGGCCCCAAACCTGTGGCTAGACAGTCCCTAGGCCCTAAGGGAGAACCTGCTGCTATTACTTGAAAAATGAGCATGGTATTAAACTGAATCCTGATAACTTGTCGTTCTACCTGGAGGTTAGTGCATTGCTCACCCCTCATCAGGGAAGCTTCATGCAGTAGATGGAAATTAACACAGAGACCCGGAACTGGTCACGATGCGGAGAAGAAGAGGTTACAGAATGCCTGTCCCTAAAGGGGACATCTCTACCACACAGCCCTCCTCCCAAGGCATGGGGATTGTTGTGGAAGCAGGAGTGGGTGAGTGTAAGAGTGAGCGGTGTGGATGGATATAAAGGAATGGTGTTTTCCCCACAGCAGGGTAGCTGTGCATGTGAACTCAAGCCAGACAAAATCCAGCGTGGAGGGGGAGGGAGGCACAAAGCCCACGCCTAGCTAAGGGGCTATTGGCTGCTGGGGGAGGCGGAGTCAGTTTTCCTTAAGGGCAAGGCCCCTGGTGGGTTGACCACGATCCAGTGGAAGCCACGCATCCAAGGCATATGGGCAGCACCAGCTGTACTTGATGGGTTAAAAAGAAAAAAGAGGAGGACACAAAGTTGGGTGGGTAGGGAAGAGGAGTAAATGGGGAAAAGAATGGCAGAAGCGTGAATATGACCAAAATACACTATATGAAAGTCTCAAAGAACTAACAAAAGGGAGAAAAGAGTCACATCGTATTGTGATTGCTAAACTTTTTTTTTTCCCTTTTATTTTATTTTACAATACCATTCAGTTCTACATATCAGCCACGGGTTCCCCTGTTCTCCCTCCTCCCACCCCCTCCCCTTACCCCCAGCCCACCCCCCATTCCCACCTCCTCCAGGGCAAAGCCTCCCCCGAGGACTGTGATCAACCTGGTAGACTCAGTCCAGGCAGGTCCAGTCCCCTCCTCCCAGACTGAGCCAAGTGTCCCTGCATAAGCTCCAGGTTTCAAACAGCCAACTCATGCAATGAGCCCAGGACTTGGTCCCACTGCCTAGATGCCTCCCAAACAGATCAAGCCAATCAACTGTCTCACCTATTCAGAGGGCCTGATCCAGCTGGGGGCCCCTCAGCCTTTGGTTCATAGTTCATGTTTTTCCATTTGTTTGGCTATTTTTTTCAATAATTGAGTAAAACCAAAATTTATTATAAGCCACAGTCATCCTAGGGACCTCCATGCTATATATATAGCCTCCATGGTTCTATGGGTTGTGGTCTGATTGTTCTTTATTTTATATCTAGAATCCACTTATGAGTGAGTACATACCATGACTGTTTGGGTTACCTCACTCAGGATGATTTTTTCTAGTTCCATCCATTTGCCTGCAAATTTCATGCTTTCATTGTTTTTCTCTGCTGAGTAGTACTCCATTGTGTATATGTACCACGTTTTTTCATCCATTCTTCTGTTGACGGGCATCTAGATTGTTTCCAGGTTCTGGCTATTACAAATAGTGCTGCTATGAACATAGATGAGCATGTGTCTTTATGGTATGAATCAGCATTCCTTGGGTATATGCCCAAGAGTGGGATGGCTGGGTCTTGAGGTAGTTCGATTCCTAATTTTCTGAGAAACCACCATAGTGATTTCCACAGTGGTTGTACAAGTTTACATTCCCACCAACAGTGGAGAAGTGTTCCCTTTGCTCCACATCCTCTCCAACATTGACTGTCATTGGTGTTTTTGATCATAGCCATTCTGACAGGTGTAAGGTGGTATCTCAGAGTCGTTTTGATTTGTGATTGCCAAACTTTTATATAAATCTTTTGCATATCTATCCATTCATTAGATGACTACACACACATCTTTGTCTGTTTTGGCTTTTTTTGAGACAGGGCTGGCTATATATAGTCCCGGTTAACCCAAGCTTACTATATACACCAGGCTGGCCTTGAACTTAAAGTAATCCTCCTGCCTCTGCCTCCCAAGTGCCAGGGTTACAGACTTGTACTACCACAGCCAGCTATACTTATTTGTAAATATTAATTTTGTTAAATGTGATTGGCGATCAAAATCCACTTCCTGATGTGTGCTGGGGACGTGGCTCCGTGGGTAGACTGTTTGCCCACTGTGCACAAAGCCCTGAGTTCAACCCTCAGCACCGCATAAGCCAAGCACCGTGGTCACAGCTGCAAACCCAGCACTCAGGAGGGAGAGGCTGGAGGATCAGGAGTTCGGGGTCATCCTTGGCTACAAATTCAAAGCCACCCTGGGCTCCAGGAAACACTTTCTCAAAAAAGAAAAAACTGATTTATAAAAGGAAATGAAACAACTTATAAAAAGGTAATATGAATAGTAAAAAGAACTTTCAAAATAATCTTCAGGAAATTTTTTTTTTCTTGTATGGTGTGCTGTGGATATCGTTCTATATAAATAAAACACTGATGGCCAGTGACCAGGCAGGAAGTGTAGGCGGGACAAGGAGAGAGGAGAATTGGGGAAACAGGAAGAAGGGGGAGAGACACTGCAGCCACCGCCAGGACAAGCAGCATGTGAAGACGCTGGTAAGCCACCAGCCATGTGGCAAGGTATAGATTTATAGAAATGGGTTAATTTAAGATATAAGAACAGTTAGCAAGAAGCCTGCCACAGCCATACAGTTTATAAGTAATATAAGCATCTGAGTGATTATTTTATACGTGGATTGTGGGACTGCGGGGATTGGTGGAACCTGGAGAGAAGCTCTCCAGCAACAATGGTGGGAGTATAAATCAGTACAACTTTAAAATTGTCCATCCATACCACAGATCCAATAAAGCTGGGGGCTGGAGACGGGACTCGGCCATTAGTGGTTGAGGGTCACAACCAGTCAAGTTGGGAGGTCATAAAGTAAGAATAGTTTTTAGTTTCCTATTTCCTTTTTTAATTTATTTTAGATTTATTTATTTTATTTTATATGTGAATATCCACTGGTTCCCATAGAGACCAGAAGAGGACATTGTATCTCCCGGAACTGGAGTTATACGTGGCTGTGAACCACCATATGGGTGCTGGGAATTGAACCCAGGTCCTCTACAAAAGCAGTAAGTGCTTTTAACCACTGAGTCATCTCTCCAGTCCTTAA